GGATGACAGTGTCGATGGTTAAGGCCACTCCCGGATTTTTTGTCGCCGGGTCGGGCAATACGCCCAGTTTAGGCTAGTGGAGAGCGGAACAAGGAGGGTAAATGTTGGTTTTTGGAGGACATTGAACTGACCCAAGACTAAGTACATTTCGGAATCCTCCTCAACCAGGGCTTTAGTAATAACCCCATTCAAGTGGGATTCATGAATGGGGGTAGAAGTGTTGGTACGCTGCTAGAACCTGTCCTTGTTGGTGTACTTCTAAACGTCTCTGTTCGAGTCAGTTTTCTGGTTCCTGGTAACCTCTTTAGAATTGTTTGCCCCCCTGTGAGATACTGAATCTTGTCTTCAGTACCGAAGTGTTGACGGCCACGACCCGCCGTAAGTGCCCTCTGCCTTGGTGGATATTACTCATGCCGAGTGCCGGCTACCGACCTTGTATATTCTTTATTTAATTTATTGTTAAATTAGTGTTTATACCGTTTACATTTAATTTATATCTTTGCATTCTTACTTTTTTTCCAAATTTAATTTAAAAACATAAATATTAATATACAAAATAGATAAAGCCGGCCCTGAAGTATACGTAATTGGAATGCAGCCCTATGGCAGACATTGTCTATATATAGACAATGTCTATAGAGAGGGTCGCTCTTCTTATCTTCTGTGATGTTGTTGTTTACTTTTAGGCATTAAGCTTGATTTATGGGCTGGTATCTTAGATATTGCCTATATTTAAATGCATATACAAATTATATATACCTATTACACACATACAACACTTATTTATAAAATCTAAATTTTGTGTCGTTCCTGCTTGATTTGGTTTATTTACTCTTACGGCTTTTTATATTTGGTTATGTTGTTTATGGGTTGTCTACACTGAGAAAAATGAGGTTGTTAGTTTAAAACTTACGGAAATATTTTTCTTATTTTTAATTAAAAATTATGTTTTTGAAACAAATAAAAAGAAATCTTAAAGAAACAATCAGAGGTTGTTGTACAAGTGCTTATATTAGAGATTTTTCATTAATTTACTGTTTGAACTACATTAATTTGAAATCTTTGTACATTTTTGTAGTAATAAAAATTTATATTCAAAAACTGTACGAGTTTAATGTAAAGACTGTAGGTAACATTTCGAGACTTTTAAATGAACTATTATGCGCATTGGTCGTATTGAATGTGCAAAAACTGTTCAGTTAATAATTAAAACTTGTAATAGTTTACTTTTCTCAGTATAGGGACCTGTTTGTTTTCTGCAGCCAGATGACATTTTTGGTAATAAGTTTGCCTATATAAGTATTTAAGGATTATTTTATAGATTAGAATCGAATTGGTACTGTTATTAGGTCATGCCATTAGGAAAATTACTTAGCTGGACTAATTAGACTTGAATTCTGTTTTCCTATTCCTAGCGGACAGTCCGTGTTTCTTGGCAATCGCCGATTGTGGTGACTATACAGGTAGCCAGGTGGTCAGGTAGCTTATCGGTGTGACCTAACCTTAATCACTCACTCTCTCACAAACTTTTACGACGTTATAGCACTTTATGACTTAACCGGGGGCCACCCGCACTTTTCAAACTTATTATTTTTTTTGTTTACTTAATTTTTGAACCATATGGACAATCTTTGCAGGTTGTCATTGCATTCTTTTTTAAGGATAATATTATTTTTATGAGATACAATTAATGATGTGTCATCTGCATAAAAAGTTGTTTGGCAATTATTTTTTAAATGAAACTCTAGATCATTAATATAGAGAGTTAACAACACAGGGCCAAGAATTGAACCCTGTGGCACTCCTATATTTACTTTCAAAGATTCTGAAACTATATTAGATAACATTGTGTTACTTTTGTGTTTTATAGAAACATACTGCCTTCTGCCAATTAAAAAACTAAGAAGCCAGTTATATGCCGACCCTCTAATGCCATATTTTTCAGCCTTGGCCATTAGTTTGCCATGATCCACACAGTCAAATGCCCTGCTAAGGTCGCGAAAAATACCAGTGAATGTCCTCACTGTTTTCCAAAAACTCTGTCAAGGTATTGTAGAATGGAGGTAGAACATTTAGCGTGGAAACCAAACTGATTTTTTGTTATAGTATTATTTTTATTTAAAAAAAGTTTCAAGCCAATTATTAAGTATTAAAAATTTTCGATAATTTAGAGGACATTGAAATAGGTCTATAATTGTCTACCAATGGTTTGTCGGATTTTTTAAAAATTGGAAAAACCTTATTGGTTTTAAGCTTCTCAGGAAAACAACATGTTTGGAAAGACAAATTTAATAGGTACACCAAAGGCTCTACACTTTCACTTGCTATATCTTTTAGAAGAAAAGTAGGGATTTCTCCGGTCCGCTACTTTTTTTAGCTTTATTTTTACATTTAATAATACTTAACTACTATCTCAGGGAAACAGATAAATAGATTTGTGATTTCTGGATATTAAGTAATTATAATCAGAATTTGAAGAGAGACCACTTATAATCTTAAAAGGAGCCTCTATAAAACAGTTATTAAATTTATTTGAAATAAGTTGAGGATCCTCAATTATTATTTTATTGTAATATTTTTGTTTAATTTTCCACAATTCTGAGCTGATTTAATGATGTTCCATGCAGTTTTTGTAGGGTTTTCAGAGTTAAATATTTTATTTTGATAATAGTTTTTTTTTGCATTTGATATCAGAAGAGAATGTTTAGTTTTTCAGGTTTTATAATAGCGTGTTAAATCTGGATGTATGCTTTTAAGGTGAAAAATATTTTTTAAATTACTACTAGATTTTTTTATTCTGGAAGTTTTTATTGCAATATCTGTTTAAACTAATAGTTTTTATCGGAAAGTGTAAATCAAAATAAATTAAAAGAATATTGAAAATCATTTTCGCAATACACAGATTTCCAGTTTTCATTTTTTAGGTCGTTTTTAAATTGATTAATTTTATCTGAATAAAAACATCCCTTATTAGTTTTAAGTGATTTTAAGTTTAAAAAATGAAGCTTAGCGTAAAATTACGGCATATTTCATAATTAACATGTATTTTAAACAGTCGTTGTTTTGGAATGTTTCGTAAAATTTAAATTTATATTCAAAGCAAAAAAATATTTGTTTCATAATTTACATTCTAGAAAAGAAAATTCTTATACATGTATGCAGTAAGAACATTTATAAATTTTATAACTCACATATTATATTTGTGGGTTATAAAAACTAACATAAATCTGTTTGATCAGGGTTTAATTTACGGTTCCTATGATTTTTTTGACTTGTGTACGTTCAACTTCTAAGTCGCTCATTGTCATTCAAGTCAAAGCTTGGTATGACTGTGGAATATTAAGGAGAATCCGTATTATTCCCAGGTGTAATTTAACATGCTATCTTGGTCCAGGAAACGAACATTTTCTTTCAAATATTTTAAAACCGTTTTGCTAAATATCCCACTAAAGAACGTATGCTAGCAAAAAATAAAAGTATTAGTTTGAGTAATCTTTTATTTTATAACTCGCCTAATATTTACGTGTAAACATTTACGTGTAAACATCTTGGTCCAGGAAACAAACATTTTCTTTCAAATATTTTAAAACCGTTTTGCTAAATATTCCACTAAAGAACGTGCTAGCGAAAAATAAAAGTATTAGTTTGAGTAATCTTTTATTTTATAACTCGCCTAATATTTACGTGTAAACATTTCAATTTGGTAAAAATTATAATACAAATAGGTCGTCTAAATTTAATTGACTCACGGTAAAAAAACAAAAGCAGGTATTATATTATGTATAACATATAATAATGTGTTGCTATGAATTCGTGGATATATTTTGTCCTTTTTTAAAATGCAGTTATTGGCAGAGGACAAATATAAAAATGTTTGATTTTAAGATTATGTTTTGTTTTGTTGGATTTCTTAAAAATGTCCAATAACTCTAAAACGCCTTTACCAATTTTGGATAAACATACTTTACCTTATATCTCAGTTTACGTGTTCAAGGGTTTTTCGAAAATAATATCCTTAAAGTCCTTTTATTTAGGTATTAATAAAAAAACGCTCAAAAAAAAACTTTTATAGGGATTTTTTTAAGTAAATAAAAAATATGCTGTGAAATACCGTATTTTTGTAAGTATACCCTGAAAATATTGTACAAATCAAACGAACAGTAACGAAAATACAGCGCTTCAAAGTCGTCAAACCACTTTCCAGCAAAATAATCAAAAAGGGGTCATTTTTACCGACTTTGAAGCGCTGTATCTTCGTTACTGTTTGTTTTATTTGTACAAAATTTCCAGGGTATACTAACAAAAATACGGTCTTTAAGAGGATATTTTTTATTTACTTAAAAAAAATCCCTAAAAGTTATTTTTCGAACGTTTTTTTATTATTAAATAAAAGGGCTTTAAAAATATTTTTCTCGAAAAACCCTCAAACACTACAAAATTTCATAAAGATTGGTAAAGGCGTTTTAGAGTAAGAATTTTGTTACTTATTATGCGTTATGTAGATAAAGTTATCATTAGTTTATTCTGCAACAACAAATATACGTATCGAATTGGATCCATTGACAAAACATAAAAATGCAACGATTTAGTTCTTGAATTTTATTTACAATTAAAAACACAATAATTCAACATGATTACACTAACGTAACTATATAAGCATATAAGGGTTGATTTTATTAATTAATAATGTAAGGAATAATAATTTGAAATCGAGTAATCAACCAAAGTTTTTACTTGCAACGCAAATAAATTGCGCGATTTAGCTGTACAGTTGAAACTTTGCAAATATATTTTGTCAAGTAAGACTTCCTCTCTTCTATAAAAAAAACTACTTATTTGTTTAAAAATGATGTGCAGTTCGTATTTTTAACAAACATTGTAGTTCACCACCAGATGGCGCGCGTTGCGAAAGCCCGATGCTTCTTTAGCGTATAGTGTTGCATATTTAAAAAATATTGATAACAATTTATAATGTACTAATTTCTCTCTTTTTGTTACAGTAAAAAAAGCCCGCTACGTTGGAGCACAAGGTAACACCAATCAATTTAACTTTTAATTAGTTTCTAATAACTTTAAATTAATTAAGTAGGTACTTAATTATTTTTTTTAAAGTTTTTCAGTAAATCTATTAAAGTAATTTAATTTATAATGAATCCTTAATAAGATTTCTTTAAAACTTTGAAACAAAAAAGGTTTAAAAAAAAAGTTTATCAAAGTAAGTCAGAGTTCTATAATTGAATATTGTTTAAAATTAATATTTACAAAAGCCAAACGATTTTCTCTAAAAGCTTCATCAATTAAAACTCGTGTACTTTGCTAAAAGCTTCCATATTGCATAATGCAAACAACATGTTTTGTTTCCTTACAGTTTTATCATTTAAATCTTTTGACATGCGTTTTATCGATCTCATTCGATAGCTTCTATAGAAGCTAATTATAATTGAAAAATAATTCGCTCATAAATTATTTAAGGCCAAGAAGTATCAACTGCGGTATATTTATTTTGCAATTAAGGTTAAAAAGTTCAAGCTTTTTATTATGTCTGAGCTTATATTGATTGATATTTTGAAGTTATGATGTAAAAATAACTGAACATTTTTCTTTAATAATGATCTCAATATCTGGGTTGATACCTTCCTTTAACTTAAGTTGTGTATTTTCTTCTTAAAAAAACGAACAAATTTGCTGGTTTTGACGTTTTTGGTTTACGATACAAACAAACCGTTGTCAATGTTTCCACTGTAATTTTTGAATTCAAACTTTTAATAAATCATGTTACATTGCTACAACAAAGCATTATTGCTTTAGTATTACCGATAGTTTTTATAAAAGCGTAGTTGTTATAAGCCCACGAGTTCACGGAAAAAGTGGAATTTGTACAAGTTTGTATGAAAATTATCTGGTAAATTTTTAAGCACAAATGGTATTTAGAATATTTTTCGAGTAAAAATACCTACTACACCTTTTCCAGTTGATATTCAGAAAGTAGGAATTGTAATTCAGTTATTTCAGTTGATATTCAGATAGTAGGAATTGTAATTCAGCTATTCCAATTGATTTTAAGAGAGTAGCATATGTAATTCAGATAACACAATTGATTTTAAGAAAGTAGCAATTGTTTTTCAGATTAAATCAAATGTAATTTAGCCGCAGCTAATGATGAATGAAAGTACACGTTATCTTTATTAACTAAGTAAATGAAATTTATATAAAGTACAAATGAACAAAATTCGGTCTTTACTTGCAATGAGTTGACAATTGTGACAAATATACCTACTTAAATGGTGATAAATTTGTTTATTATTGTCAATTCCATGGAAACAAAGCAATATACAAAGAAATACATTAAATTGAGATTTTAGAAAATAAGTAAAATGAAGTATGAAAATGTTATCATTTGTTAATTTCTTAATTTCAATTGACATATTCTGAATTACAATTGTTACTGTCTGAATACTATTTGTAATTTCTGAATATCAATTGCTACTGTCTGAATATCATTTCCAATATCTGAATTATATCATCTACTTTCTGAATATCTGAATTACATTTGCTATTTTCTGAATTTCATTTGCAATATCTGAATATCAATTGCTACTTTCTGAATATCAACCGGAAAAGGTGTAGAGATACAAAAAATGGTAACTGGTTTTGACGTTTTTGGTTTACGATACAAACAAACCGTTGTTATAGCAACGTGGTATATTCACTTATTAATTTTTGAATTTTCACTTAATCAGTACCTGCTACATTGTAACAACAATTGAAAAAAACATATGGGTCACAAAAATAAATTATTTTATCTTAAATCATTTTGGGAATAATAATAAAAAATCACCTTGATGAAGCTCCTTCTGGAGCGCCCCTTTAATAGGCTGTAGGACCTAATGCATTGATTTTCAAACTCCTAATAATGGCCCCTAAAGGTACATGTAGGAAAATGCTGGAATACTAGAAAATTCCAAAAAATTTCGGTTCGTTTTTCAAATTTGTTTTAATATTATTTATACAGGCTGTTATGTAATTAATGTTATATATTAAAATGGGTTGTTCCTTAGGGTCCATAAAGAAGCACCCGAAACTTTTTTTTTCTAAATTCCAAAGGCTAAAAATAATTTATAATAACCTTTATCCTACTTGCTTAATTTAATTTATTATGTTATGGTTGGTAACAACAGCGTTTCCAAATTCTGTCAAAAAAGTTGATAAACATTGTTTAAATTTAGCTTAATTACAAAAATGACAAAATTGTCAATTTGGCGTTTTTATTAGGTAATTGTTGGTTATGTCATTTTTGTACTGAAGGTAAATTCAAACAAAATCTGCCAACTTTTATGACAGAATCTAGTGCATTTCTTTCAAATTTTAGGTTATGTGCTCAAATTGTAAATATATATTTACAATTTAGATATATCTTAACTAAGGGAAGTGCTTTTGGATTTATTTACACAAATTAAATGTTTAAAGTTTAACCTGTGAACTGGTCCCAATTTCATTTAAGTAAACAGAAAGAAAAAAACCGATGAAAAAATTAATTTTGTGGTCATGGATTTTTTAAAATAGGTACTAAATTTTCTAATCATTGCTTAAGCTAATAGCTGGATGAGTAAATAAATACAGAAGGGTATTAAAGCTTTAAGGGCATACAACTTTTGTATTTATTGAGTTTTTATTAATTTTTTGCAAGAAAAATTTTAAGTAACAATTTTTTACATCTGGCAACGCGCAGCTTCTTTGTTGGTTGGTATCTATGTACAGAACACAAGTGTGCAGAGATAAACCAAATGTTTAACCAGTGGCGTATCACAAAAAATATAAAAAACTTCTATTGCATATTTTTTGTTTATCTTTGGATAAATATTTTTTTTAATATTTTTCCTTTACTCCTTATGTCAAAAGGTATTCAGTATTTTAATATATAACATTAATTACATAACACCCTGTATACAAGTTAACTCACGTCCGACTTTTAAAATTTTGAAGATATTTATTTAGAAAATGTATGGGTATAATACATAAGTATCAGCTGACACTGGCATGCAGTGCCATTTAAAATGGGGTATTATTATTATTTTTATAATGTAAAAGACGAACGAAGAAAACTTAACTCCCATGTTATTATTTTTAAAGTAAATTGCTGTCCATTTTTATTTCATATTACATATTTTTAAAACCAATTTTCTTAAACTTTCATAAATTAAATTAATACGCATGACCTAAAAAGGTGTGAACCTATGTAGTTCTAAAAGTGGGAAGGATTCCACTTAATGTATAAACTTGTAGGAACACTGAATTACTTTGAGTCACGAAATTGCGGTCTCAAGAGTACTAGAAACAAGCCTTTACATTTAATGAACAGAAGTGTAATATAAATTTTTATTTTTTTGGCAAAAAAATTATTTAAAGGGTGAAGATCCCTAATATAAAGTATAAAAAGTACCTAATATACTTTAATAAATATTAGTTTAAAATAACTAAAGCACTAAAAAGTACAAAATAATGTTCGAAAAATAACTTTGAGGGAATTTTTTCAAATAAATAAAAAATATGCTGTTAAAGACCGTATTTTTGTTAGTATACCCTAGCGCTGTATTTTTTTAATGTTTGTTTGATTTGTACAAAATTTTCAGGGTATACTAACAAAAGTACGGTCTTTCACAGTAGATTTTTTATTTACTTAAAAAAATTCCCCTTAAAAGTTTTTTTTAACGTTTTTTATTATTAATAAAAGGGCTTTAAGGATATTTTTTCGAAAAACCCTTGAACACGTGAACTGAGATATAAGTTAAAGTATTTTTATCCAAAATTTTATAAAGATTGGTACAGGCGTTTTAGAGTTGGCTTTTTTTAACTTGTTATGAGTTAATTTTCATCATAAATGGTATTGTTAGTTATATTCGCCATACGTATTTCAATTTCATCTGATACCCTTAAGGTTGTGAAGGAAAATGATTTCCAGAATTTTGGATTTTTTTTTGTAATTATGATTTTTTTAACTCTATGAGCTTTAAAAATTCGGTAAATTTGAAAATTTTAAAAGTTTTGGAACTTTCAAAAATTTGGAAAATCATTTAAATTATCCCATTATGTTTTTTTAATTAAACCTTTGTAAATTTTAAATAATTTTTTTTTCGACCAACTTCTAACTCGTATAATATACATATTATGTAATTTTTTATTATATATTGAAATTACAATGACGTCACATATTCTGCTTGAGAAACCTTTTTCCGAGCCTTTTTCTTTGCGCCATATTGGATTGAATATAAAACCTCTTACCTTATTGTTTTCTACTCGTTAAACCCATTAATTTGAAATATATTTCAACGCCAATATTTGAAAAGTTTATATGAACTTTGTACTGACCTTTTAATTTCGCCGGCAGTAAACTATAACTTAAATTCGGGCACGGACTCCACTGTAAAGTCCTCATAAAACATTTTCTTTACTTTTACTGTGAAAAACTGTCAATTTTCAAGAAATATATTTCGATTTATAACCTTTATAATCTGCGTTTATAAAATATAAAAATGTGACATTTGACACACAGATTCCTCTATTGTTTCATAGATGGCGCTCTATACAAATTTTTTATTTAAATCATTTTAAGATAATAAATATTTGTTGTATAGTATGCACCTCGTTTATAAGCTTTTCTATACACTCTTTAATTAAATTAAATTCGTGTATAAAATGGCGTTTATAAAACTTGATACATAATACCCTATTAATTATTTTTATGCAAGGAATCCTGATAATTTTTACCATAATAATAAATCACCCTTTATATTAAAACCATACTTTAGTAAATAACAATATGAAATACATTATTCCTGAATAATGTCTTATAGACTTATTTCTAAGTTCTTCAAGTTGTAGAAAATAGTTATCATTACAAAGTGATTTTGTGCAAGTTCTACATTTTAAAATGGACCCAAATTCTTCTTTCTTTACGATTTTCGAATTTATTTCATTACATACATCTTTCTTATCGGTGCATCCATTTATAATTCCGGTATAAGTTTTCCAT